AGCCAGAGTCCATTGATAAAAGCAGATCTCATAAAAAATTAAAAGCAGACCAGGAGAGTAGTTGCCCAGAGCAGGTGAAATTTTGTATTTGCATGGGAAGTGGGACAGAGAGAGGACACGTAAGGTGGGCATGGGAATTGGGTTCTGTACCCACCCCACCCGTTGTTAGAAGCTTTGAAGCATTGTCCTTCCCCCTTTGCAGCTATCCCATGTACCAGGTCTAAATTACTTTGTTAATGACAATAATTTAACTCAAAGCATTATCTGACTCGAAGGATAGCAATAATCTATTTATTTCATGATAACCTACTTCAAAGAGTTTTAATGATGTTTTCTTAACTTGGATGGTGAAGGTTGAACATCTGAATCATCTACACTGTCTGGAAGGTTGCATTAGAGATTAAATGACTTGGTTTTCACAATAAAATATCAACATTTTTAATGGGCTGCAGCTTTAATCACATTTCCTACCTCATGCAAACCATGCCCTTCAGACGGGACAGAGTTCTTAGTAGGGTCTTTTCCAGTTTGGGATTGCTGAAAATCAGAATAAGGGAATGAACAGCCGGAAAAGCATGCTGAAATAGTGACACATAAAACTGCACAGGATTTTCCTGCTCCATGGAATAACTGAGTGACAAGACCAAACATGTAAAGTTAATGCTGTAAATGAGGAAGAAGGACAGAATAGATTTCATGGCTTTGACATGGGCATCGGTGCTGAGATTCTTCACTGAGTTTGTCTGCATCTTGCGCTGGTGTCTCCAGAGAGAAAAGAGGAGGAGCAGGGCAGAAGAGATTACTGCCGTGAATGCAACGGCATATCCACTGACAGTGGCAATAATAATAGGTAAAATACGTTTATCCGTTCTGACTAACAGTCTCCAGATGTTTCCCACGCTGGTGGCATTGAAGTTGTCATCATACTGGTTATCAGTGACTTCATAGCCAAGAATGCAGAAGACCAGGGATAAAAGCACGAGCCCCCCCAAGAGCCGTGACACGATCCTGTCAATTTTCACTTTCAAGTAGATGAAGAAGCGGTGCCTGAAATTTGCAATTTTTATACAATAAAAGACACAGAGACAGGCAGAAACCCACAAGTTTGAGGAATTTAAAAAGGAATGAATAGCTACAAATATTTGTGGTGTGGGGTAAACATAAAAGCAGTGAGCATAAAATGTTGAAAGAATGCAATATAGCCCTGTGATGCACAAATACCAGAACCTGACGCAGCCCAGAAACAGCAAGATCTTCTCGTTGGAGTTAAAGCTTTTCTTTTTGACCCAAGCAATACAAAGCACAGAAACAATGAAAGCGTTTATCCACATGCCAGCAAATGCCTGAAGTGTGATGATGGCCGTAGCTATGGCGTCGTATGAAGGGGAATTAAATAGATGTTGGGAGTAACAGGCTTGCATCCTCCAAGGTGGGTAGCGGTGCTGTGCCAGCAAGGTGAGCTGCTGCACCGATGCTTCGCGCAGGTTGGCAGCAGCTGTGTCCCGAGTGTCGCGTACGGGAACAGGAGCTTTATAGAGCTGCTGGTGGTGGGGACTGCGGTGCTGCTGCTGCGGAGAGCAGGGCAGGTGCAGGAATGTAAATGTGCTGGGTATTCCCTTACCCGGTCTCAGTGTCAGTCTTTCCTATTTGAATTTCAGTTCCAAAGAGCGATGTTGGGTGACACAGACAATGTAGGTGCTTTTCTGCAGCAAGCAGAGATTGTGCTGTGTTTGACGGCTGCCAGGATTCATGATCTGGGTTCTCCTGTCCCGTCGTCAGCTACGGTGGTCACGTGGAGGGGTGTGCTCAGCGAAGCACGGTCAGGGGACTCACTGTCCCCTTTCGCTGCAGAGTCCAGGAGCTGCAAAATTTGATGAAGAATCTGGAACCTGGAGTTCATTTTTATCCTTCGAGGACCCTGAAATCCATGTTAGTTTTGCCAGTGGTAATGCCTTAGTTGTAAGGGAAAACCCACGTGGCAGGGGGAAGGCAGTAGAGGGTAGGCCAGACTTTCTTTTAAATTGAAGCCTACAGAGAAAAAGATGTGGCAGATGTGATGGCACCAGAGGCGACTGAAAGCTCCCTTAATTGTAGAAGCATGCTCAACCTCTCCTGTGGAAGGCTCAGCCACCCCTGCACCAATTCTTCATCCCTCCCCACTGTACCCTGCTGCCACATGACTCCTGGAGAAACCGGGGAGAGTTCTCACTTCCTGACACGTTGCCTGTTACCTGCCATATGGTCTAGTATAGTTTTCCTCTGTTTTTTTCTGACAGAACAGAAAACATGTTGTAGGGTTGGGTTGGTTTTTTTAATTTCTATTCTTATTCTCTCCACATGTTTGCAAGGAGAATATAAGTTATTTCCACAGCAAAATCTGTGAAGATGAACTGGCACTGCGTCTGTACTTGTACGAGGACATTAAATTAAAATGTTACACTAGTAGGACCATACAGTGGCTGGAGTTTGGGTTCGGCTCTGCGTGGGTAATCTGGCACCTTAAAAAAATAAGGGTATAAAATAAGAATGCTGTGTTCTTAGAGCATGAAAAATGTAGATTAGCTGCTTAAAACACAGGTTTCTGTTACCAGTTCATATACATCTCCTCCAGCAGCGCTCTAGAATGGGAAGGAGTCCCTCAAACTTTCTATCTACCAGCCCATGTGAATGTTTTGGGTATCCTTGTGCATCTTGGATGGCACCAGACACCTATGTTCAGGTAACAGGATGGACACATGGCTGTAACGGGATCTGAGGCAGGTAGCACATACATAGGTACTGTAGGGTAGGTGTTCAGACTTGATTGCATGACTCTGAGCTTAGATCACATTCAGGTGTTTGAGTAGGTGGACTGAACCCCTTCCCTCTCCAGAATCCTTGTCTTTCTCCTCTGCTCTCACAGGAATCCCAGATGATTAGCCTACATTAGCTAACTAGTTAGGCTATCAGATGCCTGACTTCTGGGCAAATCCATCCCACCTATATATCAGCTTCAATGTTTGGAAGCCCACAGCTGTTTCAAGATAGAAGCCTGGGAAAAAGAATAAAATCTCCTCTGGGCAGCTGTTACGAAAATGTTATGAAAATCTTAATTCAACCCCACATCTTCCCTTGCTGCAGGTGGAGGACTGGCTTGTTAGAGTGTGGCAATGTTTGTTTGCTTGCTTGTTTCTGGGCAGGTGCGCTTTGAAGAGAGATGGGTTGGTTGTTCACACATCCTGATAGATTGCATGGTCTTTGAAAAAACCACATATTGTAGTTCTTGATAAGTTACTCTGGCCAATATGGTTGTTCACCTCATTGCAGAAACGGGAAGGAAGTTTTTCGAAGGTGTTATTATCTCACCAGTACGTGCTGCTGATCGAAACCAACATCAGCAGGGGTGTAGATTGGGCTTAAAATGTTAACACAAGCATGTTGATCTCATTAGCAGCTCCTGCAGATGGAAATTTCCCATCCCCTATATCCTAGCTGACAGCCTGGGTAAGAAGATTTTTTATTATGGTAGCACTGTATTGCTTGAGGTAGGTATACTCCATCCAGCTCTCTGGGCTGCTTTTGTTTCGTTTGCTATTGAGTTATGCTGCATCAATGCCCTGGTTACTGCTGGCCAGACAGAGCGACACAGGTCTGCCCCAGCACACATTGTTTTTGATGTAACAGACCCAGTGACCTGCTGGATGCTGATGAATAGCCAGTTTAACCAATACCATTTTATCTGGCTGAGATCTCCAGATACTGAACTCAGGAAACCCTAGTCTTAAGAATACGCGTGTTGATCTTCTGCACCCTTCATGCCTTATCTCTTCTTAACAGCCGCAGCTCAGTACAGGCAGAAAGGAAATGCAGATATTTTGTAATTAAAAAAGTTCAGAGCATTCTCCCTTTTTGTTTCCATTTAATTTTAGGGACTATTTTAAATTTTGAACAATTTAGGTGTGAAAGCTAATAGCAAATTGATGTTAAAATCCTATAGGTCTCTCCTGTGTTTACTAACCCCAAGCTCAAAGTTTACAGTACTTGATATTATATAATAACGTGCAATTAAATTACCCAGCAAAACCTGAACAATGCCTTGGATGTCCAAAAGCCTGATTGTTTGTTTCAGCACTATCAGTAAATAAAAGATATTATCTCTACCCAAGACCTCTGCCAAAATTAGACCAGTCAGGGAATTCTGCTAACAGCCTCCTGCTCTGTGATCCAAGTACGTCTTTTTTCTACATGTTCATATTTTTAATGCATGCCAAATGTCTGTTGCTGTCCAGCGACTGTAAAGGTGCCAGGAAAGCTAAATCAGCGGCAGATGCCAACACTGTGACTGTCTAAAGTTAGGTCAGGGGACCACTTCGTTTGATGGGAAGGACAATCAGGAAGCTGGTGACACTAGCTAGTGTCTGTGCCTAGAAATCCAGTGCAGATCTGCCCTTGGGTACGGGGATACTGGTGCACAGCATTTTTGGGCAGCTTTTTTTTTCTTTTTTTAGGCACACAGTGATTATTTCTGAATGGACGTGAAAAGTGAGGATTTAAATCTGTATTTAGGAACCAAAACAGGGAAGCCAATGCAACTTGAGTTCACAGGAGGCTACTTAGCACCTTTGGAAACTGGACCACTTAGGTACATAGGTAAACGTACATGTAAACAGCAGCCGATGAAGTGTATGAGGTTATAAGGCACCCGCTGTACTTTCCTGTGCTGCCCATCTTCTTCTACTCCCCTTCCTATACTGGTTGAGCTGGGGCTACCCAGAGCTGCAGAGCAGTAGCGTTTGCCATCACCACCTCCTTCACAAGAATTGCAGCCAGCTGAAGAACATGCACACACTGCCCTCCAGGGAGGGAAAAATGAAATAGGAAGGCCAGTTGCATCTGGGACGAGGACTTATTGCCAGGCTGTGGAGCGATGCTGTATTCTGCCATTGTAAACCTGCAGTTTGGGCAAGACTGGAAATCTCAGGTGGCAAATGCTACAAAGTATTATTTTTTTACTTTTACCTTGATCTTGTGGTTGATTTAATATGTAGATACAAATCATAGAAGGTATTAGCAAAGTGGGTGTACTATCTGAGTCTTTGCCTTACAGGTGCTGATCTTATGTGGGTGACCTTCAGAGTGGCCAGGCGGTGTCTAGGAGAGAGGTGTGACTATAAAGCCATAGTGGAACATGAGCTCCTGCATGCCCTGGGATTTTACAACGAGCAATCCAGGACAGATTGCGATGACTATGTTCAGATATGGCAGGATGAAATTACTGAAGGTACAATGCAGGCCTGAAATGATTAAGAATCGTCTGCAGATGCATGTCCCTTTTTTTACAAAGCTAAAATGTCTCTGGTTGAGAATGACTGCCTACATGTTGACAACTGGACCATTATTTAGTCACAGCATTCTGAAAAGATGCTGCATGCTAAGTATTATTTCTACTTTTGCATAATCATTTGTGTATGTTTTTGTCTAGGTTTTTCATATGCCTGTGACAAACACAATGACAATTTCCTTGATGACCTCAATACCCCATATGATTATGAGTCGGTCCTGCACTATGGACCATAGTCTTTCAACATCAATAGCAACGTTCCTTTCATTACAACAAAGATTCCTGAATTGAATCAGATTATTGGACAGAAATTGGTTTTCAGCAGGCTTGATTTACCAAGGGTGAATTGCATGTACAACTGCAGTAAGTTCTTCTCACACATGTATTTGAAAATCCTAACTCAAACTTTATGATAACATGGTCATATGAGAAGAGCAGGAACACTTCAACCCTTGGGATCATCTCACAACACCTGAAGAAACTGTAGTTCTTCTGCAGCAGCAGGATCCACGGCAGTCAGATCTTCATTTCTTTATAGAATACCATTGAAGTGAATCAAGGGTCTAACACCTTTCATTCACACGGACTTTCCCCTAAGATTACTCGTAATAGTACCAGTTTCCTTCGTGGATGATGGTCATCATGCTATTCATGATGTTAAAATCTTCAAGTACCAGTAGTCTGGAATCGGGGTCTCCAAAATCGGAGTGTTTCATGTTCTGTTTTCTGCCTGTGTGATGTTTGATAACACAACTGGGGTCAAGAGCACAAATGGGGATAATAATGTTTTCCAGCTCCACTGGCAAAGCTATGAAAGTAAATACTCAACATGCTGTACAGTACTGACATGCTGTGTTAACATACACCTGAGCATTTCCACCAGCTTCAGCAGAACTACTTCTGATTTACACCTTGAAGAGACAAATGGGCCCCAGAGCCTATCCGAGGCAGGCTTAGGGAAAATGGTGGCTGTCTGAAAGGGAAAACTAGCACACAGGGCCAGGCTGGTTCCCATAGGGAAACACTCAGCCGAGAGTGGGAGAAAGAGATAATGTTTCAGGAGGAAACATCATGCCTGTGTGGTAACAGACATAAATGTGA